CTATATTATATTTTAATTGTCTAGCTAATTTCTTTCTATTTTTAGTAGAGACGGAGTCTCACTCTTGCTCAGGCTGGTCTCCCTCGAACTCCTGAGCTCAAACAATCCACCCGCCTCAGCCTCCCAGAGTGCTAGGATTACAGGCATGAGCCACCAGGCCCGGCCAAAACTTACATTTCTAACAATAGTAATACTATAAAGCTTATATCCATGAGCTTTGGAGTCAGACAAATCTGGGTTTCAATCCTAGGTTTTCCAATTATTATAATATAATATTTGTGTGACTTGGAACAAGTTATTTGATCCCTCTGACCCTCAGTTTCCTGTTTGGTAAAATGGGGATAATCAGATGTTTTTAAGGGAGGGGTGATGAGCAAATATAGGGCAGAGGTGGACCTCAGAAGCCAATATTTTCTCACTGTCCATCCTGTGACTATTGGCAAGTGACAGTAATAGATCACTTAGAGAGTAAGACTGGATATGTTGTGATGCTTACAGTCATTCCAGTCAGCAAAAACTGATGAACAGGACTAGTGTTTGCTGGTTGCACATATGTATTAAATGTAAATCTTTTCATATCTTTTCTCAGGGATAAAGACTTACCAGGATTTCAATGCCAAATACAACACAAAGAAAAGAAGTTAAGTGCTTCACAAATGGAAGGTAATGAGAATCATCCTCAAAATTGAAACATAAAAAACAGCGCTTTACTATATCTGACCCTTTCTTCTCAAAGACAGATCTGGACTTTCAAGGGTCGTCAATACTACCCTGTCAATTGAGAGAGAATTAAAAAAAAAAAAAAAAAACTTTTTGTGGCAGAGAAGGGGAATTGCTTTCAAATGGACATCTCCCTAGAATTTAGACAGTTCTGGTCAAATATTAGTATTCAAAGAAGAATTCATGGAAAAGAACAAATACAAAGACAAATATAAATTAAGCAATGAAGAGGCCAGGCTTCGTGGCTCACGCCTGTAATCCTAGAACTTTGGGAGGCTGAGGAGGGAGGATTGCTTGAGGGTAGGAGTTGAACACCAGCCTGAGGAAGAGCGAGACCTGGTTGCTACAAAAAAATAGAAAAATTAGCTGAGCATGATAGCATGTGCCTGGAGGCCCAGCTACTTGGTAGTCTGAGGGAGGAGTATTGCTTGAGCCCAGGAATTTGAGGTTGCTGTGAGCTATGGTGATGCCACTGCACTCTCGCCGGGATAACAGAGCAAGACCCTGTCTCAAAACAAACAAACAAACAAAAAGTAATGAGGAATATAAACTGAACAACTAAGGTCCCAGGATTTCTCAGAGAAAAAAGTTATAAGGATAAAATTAGCTATAAAGTTAGCTATACTGGCTGCAGTTCATTTATCCAAACAATAAATATTTATTTAAAGCCAAAAATGTAATAGACACAGAAAGCACAACAAAACAAGTCAGACCTGGTCCCTGCCCTGAAAGGAAGTCTAACATGGAAGGAAGTTAAACCATGAATTTGTTGAATACATCACTTACATTACAATCTGACATGAATTATGATAGGAAAAATATAGAGTGTTATAGAAGCATAAAAGAAAGTCTCCTAACTTCGTCTTGTGAGAGAAGAAGGGGAGTTGCAGAGAAGGCTGAATGATGAGTAGGAGTAAATCAGGAAAAGAGCACAGAGAGGAGTGTTCCAGGCAGAAAGGACAGAATCTACAGAGGCCCAGAGAAAAGGGTAAGCATGATTCACCAGAAAAACTAACAGAGTCAAGCATAGCTGTGTTTGGGTTCTGGGGAAGCTAACACTTCACTCTTCCAAATTTAGAAGCAATTGAGAAATTGACTCAAGAGACAGAAAGGAATCAAAGAATCACCTTTATTG